GGGGGAATTCCGGAAACTCCCCCATCCCCACCTTCCTCGGCGTCGTGCCGGGCGGCCGCTTCCAGGAGCCGGACGCTGGCCGGGAATGTCACCCTCTTCCCGGGGCTTGCCGAGCCGCCGCCGCCGCTGCCGCTGCTGCTCTTCCTCCTCCTCCCTCCCCTCCTCCTCTCGGCTCCCGCCTTCGCTCCCGGCGCCTCCTTTTCCGCCTGCGCCCACTTTTTGAGCTGCTGCTGCCGCCGTTTCTGGGCGTGCTGGAGCCGCTCCGGGGTGCTGAGCCGGGACACCGCCGGCATCTCCGCCAGCAGCTCCGCGTGCTCCGCCATGCCCAAATCCCGGGGAGAGCGCCGCCGATCCCGCCGGGAAGGAGCCGTGGGAGACGTGGCTCCGCCAGCAGCATCACACCCCCACCCCCCCAAATCCCGGTGGAGGCCTATCCCTGTTTCCCGAGGTTCCCCCGCGGGGTCACCGAGCGTTCCGGAGACAGGGGCGGGAGTTTGGGAAGCATCTCCCCCTTCCCCGGGTGCTGGGGGTGCTGGGGGAGGCCGGAATTCCCGCCGGGATGAGGGTGGAGGATGCTCGTTAAGGCTGGAGGGGCATCCGAAGGCACGGGATGGCGATGGAGGATCCGAAGGCACGGAGGCGGCGACGCCGGGAAAAATCCCGTCAGCTCGATCCCAAAGAATTCCACTGGGTTATCCCGCTGAGCTTCTTCTGCCTTCCCGCCCTCTGGAAGCGTCTCCCGGTCATCCGGCGGCTCCGGGATCACCGGGGAGGCGAGGAGCCGGCTGGGAATGTCCTGGGCCGGCGGGATCTCCGGGATAACGCCGCGACGGCCGCGGCGGGATGAGCTCGGCACGGCCGGGATCCTGCGGGAAGGAGAAGGAAGGGATCGTTAAATCCAGGGAGAGGCTCCCGCCCGACCCCACGGCCGGTTCTCCCGGTTTTCCTAAGCCGGGATTAACCTACAAACCCACGTGGGAGGGAATTCCCGACTCCGGAGCCGCAGGGACACCTCGAAGGGAAGGGAAGGGAAGGGAAGGGAAGGGAAGGGAAGGGAAGGGAAGGGGGGGTTTTTTTACCGGGAAGGGATCGCCGGGATCCCAGGCCGGATAAAGGGAGATCCCGGCACGTCCCGGCCGTGCCGGAGGATTCCGGACGGGTGCGGAAAAACCGGGAGAGGAGCCGCCGCCCCCGCGCTGGCATCGCCCTCTGGGCAGGGCCGGGGCAGGAACGGGGCGGATTCCGCCCCCGTGAGATTCCCAAACCGGCTTTTTCCCCCCTTCCCCACCCCACCACCACCCTTCGGAATCGCGGCCACTTCACCGGGCAAAGTCCGGCGGGCGAAGGGAAAGAATTCCGGCGCCTTAATCCCGGGGTAAATCCCTTCGGAACGCCGAGGGAAAGGGCAAAGCCTCGGGAGGGGGAAGGGAGGGGTGGGAGGGATCAATCCCGCCTCAATCCCACCACGGGTGATCCCGCTGGGATCGATCCCTCGGGACGGATCCCACCGGAGCTGCCGAGGCCGCGCCGGGAATGCCGACGGAAAAACCGGAGCCTCGACCCCTCAACTGCTCCGTGAATCCAGCCTGGAAATTCCCGAAACGGCCCCAAATTTCGGGAGCTGGGGACATCGGGGTCGCATTCAGGGTCCCTTGGGGACATCGGGGTCCCCTCAAGGGTGTTCAGGGGACAT